TTATTTTGTGTCTTCATAAAACAATCTCTTTTTATTTATGGTAATAAAAATTTAAGGGTCTATTCAACTTTAAGATACAATCTATTTGTCGTTAACTTTAAACATGATAATTTTTTTCTTAAAAAGGAAACTTAATTTCGAAAAGCCTTTTTTTACCTTCTTCTTTTTGAATTTTTTACAATAATGCTAATGATTATCATTTTATTTAAAAAAAACTTTAAATGAAGCACTATTTGTTAGCAATTTTTATTTTTTAAATGCAACATTTCTCATTACTGAGCATAAACGTAATAAATGCTCGATGGTAAATTTAATAAATAGTGCATTTTGTACTGTTGAATAATAACAGTTAGTTAGAGAAATGTAAAATCGTAAAAAATTATGGGCAATAAAATTGATAATTTTTATGGTATCAAGAATAGTACTGAATCAAGCAAGGCTAAAGTTGATTGTTAACTAGTTTATCTTAAAAACAAATTTAAAATAATTTCCTTTTACCCATTCAATTTCACCCTTAGGTGATGTGATTTAGAAAGTTTCAGTTATTGTGACCTTAATAGATAATGTTGTTCGTTTGGCTATTGAGTAAAATGAACGAAAAGATGTAATAGCTTTCCCATGCTATAAAATTGCAATAAAACATTCAAATTTAATTTTACGATTAGTTGACTGAGTATATTTTCAATATTTTGATAATTTCACCAAAGTAGTTGCGGATTTGTTTATTTTTGCTGAAGAAGAGATGTATCTTAACAGGTAGAAACTGCGACAGGTAGAAAGGGTTAAAAAAAAACCAATTGTATATTTACGTAAAATTTGAACAATCTCATGTTCGTAAATATCTATAATTTTATTGAAGGGCTTACAGTTTATCTGTCATAAAATCACTGTATACCATTCTGTAAAATTATAACTGTTTTAAGAGAATGTATCAAACTTTAGATAAGTATAGAAATGCTAACTTTATCGTTTTCTGCATTTTTAATAAGGCTCTACAGAACTTTAATATTGAACACACTTTAGAAGGTTCATCCTCATATAACTATAACTAAGTACAGAGGTGCCGACTTGCTCCAGATAGCGGATAAATATTTTCGAGTGGTAGTCTTTTAATGTATGATTCTCGGTTTGGTAAATTCAATTTATCGGTTTTTTACTCACCATTACTTCTAAATAAATCGAAAACTTATATGATACGCCACGTTGAGCGATTTAAAAAGTTAGCAAAATTAACCGAAAGTCTGCAAATTTTAGTTCGTAGATCTGTATCGTATTTTAAAAATATTTTTTTTTAACCGGAGTAGTAGGCATCTCTGAAAGTAGAGTTTAGTATAAACTTATGGAATATTTATATTTAGTGGTGGGAAGAATGACTTCAAAATTTTAAAATAAAATTCACTAAAAAAAGAATCATGCATGAAAACATAAATTTTGCTACCACTGAAATAAAAATCTCTACAAAACGGAGCAAGTTGGCTTTTTAGTAAGTATACTGATTCGGGCTCCCTTCTTTCTTGCAAACAAAACTATGCTAATTGTATACCTTTTCCATTATGTGGATGTAAGATAATGCAATGTTTATGCATATTTAATATTTTTTTTGAAATTTTCGAGTTTTTTTTCCGATGAAAAGTGTTTAGTTTTTTACATAAGAAATGTTGATGCATCTCTTATCTGTAAAAATAAACAAAATCATATTCTTCTTGCCTTTAGTTGCAGTTAACAAAATGCTGAAAGAATATTTATGTAAGTACTAACTTATTTGGAATGTTTTATAATAATTTTACAGCATTGACAAAGCTATTAAAATATTTGGCTTATCTTATTCAATAGTGAAACGAACAGCATTTAAAGTCTTAAAAATGACAATTTTGAAGGCTGGTATAAAATCATTGTACACCTTACCACGAAAAATAAATAAATCCCCTATTACACCCCTTTGGTGTGTCTAACAAAGTGCAGAAATATTTAGTCATCTAATTATCTTTGTAAAATCTGATTAATTTTGAATAATTTATTATAACTCGGCATGGGCAAAGCTATTAAAACTTTTGGTTTATCTAATTCAATAGGCAGATGAATAACATTATCTATTAAGGTCTTAAAAATGGAAATTTTCTAAATCATATCACTTAAGGGTAAAATTGAAAGTGGCTTCTTTTAATTGCGGCATAAATCACGGACTAAAAGAGCTGTTATAACTCTAACTTTCGGGAAAAAGGAATATTACCGCATTAATGGCATAAAGCTCATTTTTCAATCCTCGCCTCCAACTTTACAATGCCGGGGCACATTAAATTTTACTAAATTGCACCATCAGTGGTTATCCTGGGAAGTCGAGCGAAAATCAGTTTTTGAAATTATTGCCTTCCATCGCACATTTCCTCTGGCAGATATCTTTCATTATTGAGATTTTTTTTTGTAATCTTAGAAGAAGGAAATAATTTCAACTTGGAATTCTGTGAGCGCGTAAGAGCTTTAAAAAGAATTTATGAGTTGGAAAACATCAATAAATTATTTTGAAAATTGTGAGAGATAGAAAGTTTTCCCCTAAGTTAATTTCAAGACATTCTTGAAGAATACCTATAACCGAATTGCATGTTGAGAATGGTACTGCTTATTTGCAAAAACTCGCAATAATTGTTTAGTAGATAAAATTTAGCTTCTCAAGGCTCTGGTAGATGGTTTCTTTTCGAGTTAACTAGATATTTTTAAAATTTAATTGAATTTTTTTAAAAATTAACTTAAAAAGTAGCATTATTGGTAATGCTGAGGGTTGTAGTTTGGTAAATCAAGACATACCTTCAACCTTAGTAAATCAAGACATACCTTTAAAAATAAATTTTTTAAAAGGTTCTTTCAGAGATTTGTATTCTATTAATCTAGTAAAGTTGTTTATAATATAATAGGATGATTTTTTTAAAACAATCACCAGCCACACGTGCCAGTTCTTTCAAAAAAATTCCCGACGTTCATTACCAGTCAAGTGCAGGTTGTTATACTATATTTATAATTGACAAGTTGTAATCTGTAAATATAAAACCAATGTTAAATTTTCTTCTTTAAACAACTATTTTAATTTTTAAATTTTACTATAAGTTTATTTTTAATAAACATTATGTTATTGTCTTAAAGCACCAAAAAATATTTACATATCCAAGTCCATGATCAATTGAAGAAAGTTTTAATTACAAGGTTGAGTGGTTAATCATTGAGAAGTTGTAATCTATTAAGATAAAATCAGTGTTAATTTTTTTCCTTCAGCAACTATTTCCGTTTTCAAATTTTACAATAAGTTTATTTTTTAATAAACATTATATTATTGTCTTAAAGCACCAAAAAATATTTACATATCGAAATCCATGATTAATTTAAGAAAGTTTTAATTACAAGGTTGGTTGGTTAGGAAAGTTACAATTCAGTTTCAATTCAAATGAAGTAGGGTAAACCAACCAGTGAAGGAACACTACCCAGAGAAGGAACATTTCATATATATTGATTAAAAATAAGAATATGAAGGTTTTTCTTTAGATTGATTGGTAAGAATAGCTTATTGCCAAACAATAGGAAGTCATCTAGCTATGTTTGGGATTACCTGGTCACATAGACGTCTCTGAAATTTGTTATTATCTCTGCAACGCCTTGTTTCTTTGAAAAAAATATAAGGTGAGTGTTTGTATTTATATATTTGAAGTGGAATTAATTGCATGTAATAGTTTTATTTTTCTCACTGTGAAAAAAAGAATTCAAAATATAGTTATTGAAGTTACGTTTTATTTTTTTTAAGCATCATAGCATAATCAAGTACTGAGATAAGGGGATGTTTATTCACTGGATCACCAAACGATGAAAAATCAGTGAGGGTACAAATGTTCCTTTACTGGCTTTTTTCTAAGTTAATGAAAATGAAAGAAAAACTTTAATTTTCTTGTACCTTTGATATTTTGCATCAAAAGTATGTTAAAAATACAAAAAACAACTTCTAACCAGTGATGGAACAGTCATATTCCTTTACTGGGGATAGATTTCCCAGTGAATGAACAGTATGTGTTTATATGCTGACACTTCACTTTTCAATTCATGATTACAAAAAAAAGTTAACATTTTCCAAGTATTTGTAGATTATAATTTCAAGCATAGGCTTGTTTTTAGAAATTTGTATGGCATATAAATTCATAAAGAGCATTAAAAAATAACCAAAATTAAGTGTTCCTTTACTGGGTGTTCATTCACTGGTAAGAGCTGTTCATTCACTTGGTCTTCTTACTACTTGTTATTTGAACCTCCTAAACTTTAAAACAATATTGTTTAAGTTCTCTACAGTTTTTTTTACATAATTTGCAATTAGTAGCAAATATGTTGACACTGTCATTTAACTAAAATCACTAATTTTGAAATTAGTATGATTTTTTAAAAGGCAAGCGAAGCTTAAGTGCTCCTTCACTAGTTAGTTTACCCTATACTAATGAATTTTTTGTTAATTATTTAGAAATACATCGAACAAAAAAAGATTCCACACTGCATGTCAAATAATTTATTTTTCTTTGGGAAGAGAAAAAAAATGTCAGGTTGAGTAAATGACAGTTACAGGCTTTGACGGTTTTCATGGAAAAACTGTGATTTAATGTGTTAACTTTCGCTTAGAATGAGGCTCAATTTTATATGGTAGGTCATAAACAATTGAAAAACATCGTGTTTCTGAGAACGATCGTCAAATTAAAAGTGTACTGCAACGTGTTAAGGAGCAGTGAGGTGCGACTACAGGTGATGCTGTATGTTTTCCGAGAACTAGCTGCACGTTACTTTAAAAAGAAGTAGTAAGATGAGTCCACAGGTGACGTTAAATTCGTTGTTTTGGGGCAAGGTACAAATTACCATACGCACTTTTTCACAAATATGCATCTTTCGGTTATGCTAAATGGGCATCCTTTTCATCCTTTTCAGAGAGTTACCATAGTTTCAGTATTAAAAGCTATTTTAAGAAAAAAAATATGACTTACCCCAGGAATCATATCTTCAAGCATTGAAATGTTGACTTTATTAAAAACAAAGTCTTCTTCTGTTTGATTGTTTTCTTCAAATTGTTTGGAATCAAAAGGATCCTCGTGAGAGATCTAAAAATGTTTAAAAATGTATAAATGCTGAGAACAGAAAGTATTTTACAAACATATTCTGTATTTGTCAATCATATAAGTTAGAATCCGATTTTCGGGTTTTTTCAAATGAAATTTTTTCCAAATTTTTTCATGTAATTTTACTTTTAATGTTTCCTAATGCATAAGATTACTTTATTTTATTTTAAAGCCGTTGTTGAACAGTCGACCCAATTTTGGGTTTACGACTACTAATGTTCAACTCCGTAATTTTGAGCTCAATCTTGTGAACTATTTTTTTGATACAGAGACAAAAAAACTCCTGGATCAAGAGGTAGAAAATTTCCTACGTGGAGAACTTTTTGATGTAACTAACTCTTTTTTGCGTTACATGGACAGGAAAACCACGGAAACCTCCCACGGTTAGCTAACCCATGATCCGTCTACCACTGACGATATTTTACATCAGCATTGTGGTCGGTGCAAGCCGGATGCGTAATTCGTATCGACCAGCCTTCGCTGGGATTCAAACCTGGTTCACCTCATTCTAAAGCGAACACTCTATCCCCTGAGATTATATCTTAAACCAGAATTTTATGAATAACTTTGATTCAAACTAACTATTGTTGAGTTGTCTGGTAAGTTCGTACCGAATTTCGATTGGCGAATTTCCCAAAGCATGTGCTTCTTTGAAAGCCTGGCATTTTTTAATTCATTTCCTAAGAGGGATGTAACGCTGAATCAGTTAAAATTAGAAGCATTTTCTATTATTGTAATATTAAGTAATTGCACGATTTTATAATGCAACATTTTATGATAAAGGATATGTTTCGCGTTTAAATTACCGTTTTACAATTATTCAACGACAGTTAAGTTTTATTTACTTTTTAATAAATTTTGTTCACTCTTATAACAAATTTAATTTAAAAGTGCTTTCAGTTTACGCATTAAATTAAAATAATTAATTCAAAATATCTATTTTAAATTCTTTTTCTAATATGAATTAATCATTCGCACTCTAACTTAGTTATTATAACGCTTTTTTTATCGAGTTTTTCAAAAATATTTAGTGAGTTTTTATGGTACCAAAGATTAAATAAAAATGTGCGAAACATATTTGTGGATGAAGTTGCAATGGTAACCAAGCTAAACTAGTGAATCGGAACTAAATCTGTGCTAATAAAATAAACGAATTTGAGATCTTTTAATAGAATAATTTTTAAAAAAATATATGTTTGTCCTTAAGAAGTAGAAATAAATGCGAAGCGAGCAAGGTATCCGATATGAATTGTAACCGACACATACGTATCCCATAAACAATTATCAGATGCAGTATGTGCACGACTACTGCTCATCATCTGTTTTTATATATTTCATATATGAGTTATAACAGATCCGTAAATATTCCTTAACACATTGAATGTTACACTAATTTTACATGGCTTGCTCGTCTGGCCACACGGTAAATAACTACAAACTAAATTTGCAAATATAGATAGATTTTGCATAAAAGGTTTAGCATGACATATCTGAATAAAGTGGTGAATTATATATGCCTACGAATTGTTTAAAAATAGTGGTGGGTAAAAATCTACTAAATTGAATTTATCAAACCAAGAATCACAATAATTATGTAAATTCTAATAAATTTTCTGCTGTCAGCCAGCTGTTTTCGTGGCCTATGTGAAAGGTCAGTGTCAGCAAGCGGTGGCAGTCGCAGCCTAAATGTAATTTCAGTGTCAGTCACCGGTGGTTGACGCGGCTTGAATGTAATTTCAGTGTCAGCCACCGGTGGTTGACGCAGCTTAAATGCAATTTCAGTGTCAGCCACTGGTGGTTGACGCTGCCTAAGTGTAATTTCAGTGTCAGCCACCGGTGGTTGACGCGGCCTAAATGTAATTTCAGTATTAGCCACCGGTGATTGACGCGGCCTAAATGGAAAGTTCAGTGTCAGCCACCGATGGCTGAAGTGGCGCTCAACGTGTTAAACAATTATCACATGCATTATGAGTACAACTTTTGCTCATCAGCTTTGTTTTTTATTTATTATATATAAATTATAATGGACCCATGAATATCCCGTAAACAATTATCACATGCAATTAATTACTCTCATCGCCTGTTTTTGTATTTTATAAATATGAATAATAAGGGATTCTTGTAAAAGAATTTATTCAGTTTCCGAAACTTTCTTCGCGAATGAGAATAAGGGATAGATTCTTATATTTCTGTGTCAACAATCACTGGATTCAGGATATATCAAATTATGACCTTAGTTGTATTCGGAATTTCTTTTAGTTCCGATACTAATATTACGCTCCATTGAATTAAGAACTTTCTGTACTACGGTTTCGATCGCATCAAATATGTATTCGATCCATAAGAAAGATAAAGAAGAGTGATACAGATTTCTACCATAAATTCATACGAGGCATTCGAATAAGAATGATAACATTAAATAATTCACGTACTTTTCATTAGCTTTCTTTAAAAAATTTATAAGAAATTCCAGCAACAAATTTTAAGATAAACATTATATAAAATGAAAAATAATTTTTTTTCGAGAATGTCTTGTTCCATGAGCTGTTTTTATTCCTTAAGGATGCGCGTAAGGAAAAATTTATATAATATTTATGATTTTAGAATAAAGCATCTTCAGACATACTGCAGAAATGCATTATTTAAGAAAATAGGTTGTTCTTCAAGTCTTAAAACTTTTATTTTTAAACTATGATATTTTTGTTAGCGAACTTTTAAAAAGAATTAGAAATGTTGTTTTCCATTTTTATTACCGTAAAATAACTCACATGTCAAGATACTTCTTAAGGTCTTTTATTCGCGTTTCGAACAAACACATGCTTCATACTCCTTTGCAAATGAAAATGAATTGTTCTCAAAATGGGCTTAAGATATACGCTTCTAAAGTTATAAAATCCTAAATAATGTTATGTAAATCATATATTCTTCTTTCGTAACATTATTTAGGACTGTTTGTCTTATTAATTAAGTTATTTTTTTTAATTATAATGTTATTTTTTTAATTATAAATTGAAACTTTAACTTTAAAAATCTCGAAAACTTATTATTATTATATTATAATTTTATGATACAAATATCATGGATGAATAAGTGTTTTTGTTTTGTTTTCTCTATCATTAAATGTTTAACAGATCTTAGAAATTTTCGTGTTGCTGATTTCAAATCTGCATAGTTTTTCTCTTCCAAGCTACAGATTTCTATTTAAAAATGACATTTTTAGTCTATCTTCTGCGAAGTGTACAAGTTTAGAAACGTTATTTAAAGCAGAGGTCGCGTAAATGTTGTGACAAATTTCTAGGGGAGTTAGAGTATATCATAAGCACTAAAATTGTCTAGGAACCCATGCCCCGGAAACTGTTTTTAGTGTTTCTGAACAGGTCATACTACGGAAGAGCTCCTAGTGGCGTAGAATGATATTTCCGGGCATGGGTTCCTATGGAATTTTTATCCTGATAATGAGCCTTAACTCCTCTAGAAGTTTGCCACATTATTTACTCTACCCTCTGTTATATATAACGTTTTTAATCTTGTACATTTCGGCAAAAAATAGACTAAGAATGTCATTAGTGTGTTTCTGAACAGGTCATGCTACGGAAGTGTTCCTAGTGGCATATAATATTATAACCAGGCATGGGTTCCTATGGCATTTTAATCCTGATGATGTGCCCTAACTCCTGTAGAAGTTTGCCACAGTATTTACGCTATCCTCTGTTATATATAACGTTTTTAAACTTGTACATTTCGACAAAAAATAGACTGAAAATGCAATTTAAAAAAAATCTGTATCCTTAGAAGCTAAACTACTTTCAGATTTGAAATCCTCACACCCGAATCGGGCAAAATCAAGCATTTGAATGAATGCAACAAAAAATTTGTTTCTCAGTGTAATCTTGGAGAAGGAAAGTAAGCTGTTAAAAGATTTTTGACTGAACAGCATTAGAGTTCAAATTTTTCTAATAGGTATCAAACAGTAATTTAAGGAGAGGGATTAAAGAAATAATGATTGGAATGATAATAAAAATTACTTATGAAGAGGGCAAAAAAAATACAAAATGGAATAGAGAGCTATACTTGTCCAGGCATGCCAACTTTTGATGCTTTTTTAGGAAAATTTCTTCTCTCAGTAGCTAATTTTATTTAAATAACCGATCCAATTTTGGGTTTACGACTACTAATGTTCAACTCTATAGTCTTGTAATTTTGAACCCAGAATCCTGAAGACAAGGGAACTCCTGGATCAAGTATTGGATGAGCCGGGTGCGGAATTCGTATCGACCAGCCATTGCTGGGATTCCTACCTGATTCACCTCATTGAAAGGCGAACGCTCTATCCCCCGAGCCACCACGACTAGTTTATTTTTTGTGCGATTTTTTGTTTTATAAATTTAAAGCCACCACTACAGGAAAATAATTCAAAAGTTCATATGAAATGCCACTTTGGTTTAGCTGTTTCATGTTGAAGCTTTTAAAATGTTGTCAAAATTACCAAAATTCTGAAATCTGAAATTTTGTAACTGTCTACCATTCTATAAAATATTTTGTAAAAAGTTTAGAAGTTTTTAGCCCTTCTTGCCGATCACTTTTTTGCATAATTATTAACCCTATCGTGGTATTTATCGGATCGCAAGACAAAAACTTGTTCAATCCAGTTTAGTAGAAATCACATCCTTTACCCATTGATATATTAGGACCGGAAAGTAATGTCGTTTCGGTGCATTTGATATTTGTCATCAAGATTCTATTTTTAATCAATAATGTATTCACCCTCGCAACAACCTTTCAATGCCGGATCAAAAATGAATCGAAATGGATTGAAAAAAAATGATCAGAGTTTTAAAACTAACGAATATTTAATGCGCCTAAACGAAATTACTTTCCGGTCTACCTAATCGATTTTGGAGACTGATTTTACCTGTTTATAGAACCTTGTTCCGAGTGTAGAGTACTATGTGTAGAAAATCTTGTCTCTAGTGTAGAAAACC